GATACAGGAAAACTGAAGAGTAAAGGGAATTTCAGATAATTTAGAGAAGACTGTTTTTTGGTTTGCATTATTAGACAAAGTAAGTGCTGAATATTGATTGTAAATGTTCACAGTGGCAAAAAATAAAGTTTTGTACATTTCATTGAATCTAATATTGATTTTTCCTGTCCACCATTGAGTTTGAAGGTGAACTGTAAAGGAGAAAGAGTAAGGTGTGTAGAAGTCTTTCCACCAAGACAGTTTTGAGTTTTCAGTTCCACCTGCCCAGTGTACTGATGAAGTGAATTGATGAAACACACACATATCCTCGTTGGCCAGGGTTGGTGTTGTCTGTGGGCAATCCTGCTTTTAATCTCGATTTTGTGCCTCAGTCACAGTGGCCTCTCTTTTTTTCCTCTTTTGCACTCCTTGTGCCACTTACAGTGATAGATTTTCCTTTTCTTAAAAGAGAATACATATATGAATTGAATGCATGTATATTTTTTATTTAAGAGCTGTGATTTACAAAATTAGTGATGGTTGCATTTTAGGCATACAATAATTCAACACCAATCACTCCAGCGTGTCAAATTCCTTCCACGAGTATGCCCAGATTCTCTTGCCTTCCCCAACACCACTTTATTACTGCCTGTCAAATTGATAGGTATGTTACAGAATTTCGGGGTTTACTGCTTAGATACCATGTTTTTATTACTCTTGAAAATGTATTTTGTTTGCAATGAACAAACAATTGCAGATGTCACTTCGAGTATACCTTTTTGCCTCTCTGGGATATATTCCCAGGAGTGCTATAGCTGGGTCAAATGGGAGATCGAATTCTAATTTTTTGAGAATCGTCCATACTGTTTTCCAAAAGGGTTGGACCAGCCTGCATTCCCACCAGCAGTGAAGGAGGGTCCCTTTCTCGCCACATCTGCGCCAGCACCTGTTGCTTTTGTTCTTGTGGATGTGGGCCAGTCTCTGTGGTGTGAAATGATATCTCATTGTTGTTTTTATCTGCATCTCTCTGATGATTAGTGATGTAGAGCATTTTCTCATGTGCCTTTTTGCCATTCGGATTTCTTCTTTGCGAAAGTTTCTGTTCATTTCCTCGCCCCATTTTTTGATGGGGTTGGGTGATTTCTTGTGTAGTTTAACCAGTACCTTGTATATCCTTGAAATCAACCCCTTGTCGGATGTGTATTTGGTGAATATTCTTTCCCATTCTGTAGGCTGTCTTTGTATTTTGGTCACTGTTTCTTTTGAGGTGCAGAAGCTTCTTAGTTTAAGAGAGTCCCATTTGTCTATCTCTGTTTTCACTTGCTCGGCCAGTGGCGTCACGTCTTTGAAGATACCACTAACTTCAATATCGTGGAGAGTTTTGCTAACTTTGTCTTCAATAAACATTATAGATTCCGGTCTGATGTTGAGGTCATAAATCCATTTCGATCTTACTTTTGTGCATGGCGTTAGGCAGAGATCTGAGCCCACTTTTTTGCATGTAGCCGTCCAGTTTTGCCACAGCGGCAGGGTGGGATGGGGTGGGGGGTTGGGGGGTGGGAGGGATGCTAGGACCCGTGGTGGGGGAGGATGGGCACTGGTGGAGGGATGGGTACTTGATCATTGTATAACTGAAACCAAGCACAAAAATTTATAAGTCTATAAGTGTACCTCATGGTGTTTCACTAATAAAAAAAATGATAAAAAATAAATAAAATACTGAAGTATACATACAAGTGGAGAGACCATTAGAGAGAACACATGCTAGTATATATTAACAGTTTTCCACAGCATCTATATTTTCTGTTTCTGTAAAAATACTGTCTCTGATTTACTTGTTTTCAATGGATATCATGTAAAATTCACTATTAAAAGGAAAAAAGAAAAAAATGTATTTTGGTTATATGGCTCTACCCCTCACTCACATTATTGTTAAACTGAAGTCCTGCTGTCCATTAACCTATATTTCTTGTTCACCTCTTCCCTGCTTGATTTCTTTCATTTTCTGTCTGTATCGTTTCGAAACACCAGGGTCAAGGATGATCTTAGTATCACTCTTTTACTCCAATACATTTCCTCATTCAGTATTCTGTGTGCATTTTCCCAATTGTGACTCGTGCAACCATTTCTTTAGTTCCTTGCTTGGGCTTTTATGAGTCATTCCTTCATGGTTGTTGGTGTGTCAAAGGAAACATCATCTGTACCTAGAGATGCTGCAACAAAGAAATATGGTACGGACTTATAACACAGTGAGATATGGTTCATGAGGTGTATAAATATTGGGGGGACACAAGCGGGACATGTTGGAGGGAAGCTGACACTCTGGTGTAGGGTTAGTTTGAATATTTTTAGCCTGACACCCTAACATTATCAGTACTATAAACCAAAGTGCCGAAAATAACTTTTAAAATGTTAAGTATGCCAAAGGAGGGAAAAAAGGAAGAGCAGACCTCAGCTGGTCCTCAGGGTGAAGTAGAGATCTCCAATATGGGTAAAAAATTTGCATGAAGATCTCCTTCTCCTTGAGGTCCTCCGGGAGATAAGAGATGCCTGTGTCAGCCCAGCCTCAGTTCTGGGTCTCTGAGGGTCTGTGTGCAGGATGGCCTGGATACCTGTGCTCCTTCTGCTCCTCTATCATGGCACAGGTAGGGATGGTTCCCAGAGACTTAGAGTAAGCTCAGAGTCAGTGTTCAAGTCTCTGGCTCTGAGTCTCAAGCAGATGACACTGGTCTCTGTCTCACACCCACATATGTCTGTGTTTGCAGGTTCCCGCTCCCAAATTCTGCTGACTCAGCTGCCCTCTCTCTCTCTGCATCTCCTGGGACAACTGTCAGACTGTCATATACCCTGAGAAGTGGCATCAGTGTTGGGGACCGAAGGATCATCTGGTACCAGCAGAAGCCAGGAAACCCTCCCTGAGATCTCCTGAACTATCAAACAGACTCAGACAAGGGCCAAGGCTCCGGGGTCCCAAGCCGCTTCTCTGTATCCAAAGATACTTCAGCCAATGCAGGGATTCTGCTCATCTCTGGGCTGCAGCCTGAGAATGAGGCTACCTATTACTGTGGTACATATGGCAGCGCTTACCCTCACAGTGATCCAGACTCATGGGGAAGTGAGACAAAAACCTGCCCACTACTCTGCTCTGCACGCAGAGGATGTCTGGGGAGTATCTCCCCTCCCCCAGCACTGGTTTAAGCTGACACACTTGCTCAGGTTGAGTCTCCCAAACTTTCTCAGTCCTGCTGTAGAAGCTTTAGGGTATGACTTTTCCATTCAGCAGAGATTTGTCCCAAAATCCATCACCTAGAGACTCCAGATCTTTGCTTATATTCCGTCTTTGAGTCTTCACCTGCGAATAGGAGGTCAAGATATTGACAAATATGTATCATACATATCGAACGAAGTCATATGAACTCACTACAAAAGGTGGCTTGGGTCACTGTCACCCCTTAGCTGCTCTAGACATTCTGGGCACCTGCTCTTAGAATTCCAGTTTCTCAGCTCTGAGACGGCTCCTTACTCTGTAAATGTAAGTATTCAGTATAATATTTCCCCATTAGACATTACTGTCTCCTGTGAGTAACCATAACACCTCCATTTCACTAACCTGATAGCCTAGAAGTTAAACAATTCACTCTGAATTTCTAGTTTAATATGAGGAAACCCAGCCCCTAGAATCATACTGCACTGATAGCCAAATCAATAGTTATATCTGTACCTAGTTTCCTTTTGCAAATCCACCATAAATGACTTTGTTTCTGCTAGTGTGGGAAGCTCTTCTCTTCCCAAGCCTACCTTGGAGTTAAATTCAGTGCAGATTCATTGCTGCACTGTTCACAATAGCCAAAATTTGGAAGAAACCCGAGTGCCCGAGAACAGATGACTGGTTAAAGAAACTTTGGTACTTCTACACAATGGAATACTATGCAGCTGTTAGAAATGATGAAGTCATGAAATTTACATACTAGTGGTTCTACATGGACAGTATCATGTTAAGTGAAATGAGCCAGAAAGAGAGGGACAGACATAGAATGACTGCACTCATCTGGGGAATATAAAGTAACAGAATGGAAGTTGAACACCCAAGAATAGTTGAGATAAATACCAGGAGGTCTGTTCCATGGATTGGAAGCCGGCAGCACATGATGAGGGGAAAGGTAGCTCAGATAGAGTAGGGAACACAAAATAAAGGGTGTTTGGAAAACTCGCTCGACATATGAGATGCGTGCTGAAAGTAGACCAAAGACGATGACCTCTCAATACCTCTATTGCAAACTACAACACTCTAGAGGAAAGAGAGAGCAAAAGGGAATACCCTGCCACAGAGAAGGGGTGGTGTGGGAGGGATGGGGTTGGGGGTGGGAGGGCTACTGGGATCATTGGTGGTAAGGAATGGGCACTAGTAGAGGGATGGATGCTCGATCATTATATAAATGAAACCCAAGCAAGAAAGTTTGTAAGTCTACAACTGTACCTCATGGTGTTTAACTAATAAAAAAATGAATAAATAAATAAATAGATAAATTCAGTGCAGAAATGACTCCCATTCCTTCTACTGTAGCTCATTCACTTTATGATATTCCAGAGAACTCAACTTTGTTCTGCCCCATCAGTACAGTTAAGAAGTATAAAATGCAAAGTGAGATTAAAATGCAATGTAGGGAATCTTGGTTATGATCTGGAATTCTGAGGATGTGGCTTGGGTAGAGGAGGGACACACCTCTTGTGTCCACTAGGGGGCGGTGCTGTGTTAGCTTGGCTCTCGGGTTGCTCATCTGTGGTTCTCCCCTTGCCCAGCAGATGTCACTCTTGCTCTGTTTGGAGAAATCCTCTCTGAACTAGACTCTCTTTACTCAGGATGAGTCTTGGCCAATTTTAACGAGGGGCTTGTCTGGCTTCCTAAGAGGGGCAGATTTGCATAAAAACCTCCCACCCTGTGGATTAGGAGGCCCTATAAAGTCCTTGAGGACACAGGGTGGCTGTCAAGCCCTGGGCACAAAGTGTGGGGGTGTCTCAGCATGGCCAGGACTCTGCTGCTCCTCACCTTTCTGGCCTATTGTACAGGTAGTGCCTGCTGGGAATTTTTCAGTTTCGGCAGGGGGTGGCTACTAGTGATGACCTCTCTCTCCCTCCTGGAATCAGGTCCTTCTGGGTCACTAATCTCTGTGTTCTTTTCTTTCAGGTACTTGGGCCCAGTTTGTGCTGAATCAGATTCCCTCTGTGTCTGGGTCTCCAGGGGAGAAGGTCACCATTTCTTGTACCCGCAGCAGTGGAAACATTGGGTCTAACTATGTGCACTGGTACCAGCAGCGCCCTGGGAGTTCCCCCACAAACTTGATCTATGCAGATAATCAAAGACCCTCTGGAGTTCCCGATAGGTTTTCTGGGTCCATCGAGAGTTCCTCCAATGCTGCCTACCTGACCATCTCTGGGGTGCAACCTGAGGATGAGGCTGACTATTTTTGTCAGCCTCTAATTATGGTAACAATTAATACCCAGTGCTTCAGACCCACGGGGAAATGAAACAAAAACTCCCCAGAACCCTCTGGTCCATCAACTCAGCTCTTCCTTTTTTTTTTTTTATAAAAATTTTTTTAATTGTGAGACATCATGAGGTACAGTTGCAGACTTACACATTTTTGTGCTTGGGTTTCAATTATACATTGATAAAATACACATCCCTCCACCGGTGCTGCTCTCCACTATGTTTACTGAGAACTCTTCATAAGGTTTTGCACAGGGGTTTCCAAACCACCTTCCCATCAGCTGTAGTTAAATGCTCTCAGTTTTTCTCACGTCCCCACAAACACAACTTGTTCCTACTGTATTTGATATGTACCATTCTCACTGGTGTGAGGTGATACCTCATTATTGTCTTGATTTGGATTTCTCTGACTGATGACCACGTTTCCATGTGCCTACTGGCTCTCCACCTTTCTTGCACTGAGAAGTGTCCATTCATTTCCTGACACCATTTATTGATAGGATTTTTGAATTTCTTTGTGTTGATCTTTGTATTTTATGGATCCTGTATATCAAACCTCTATCTGATGTTTTGATTGTAAATATTTTTCCAGTTCCGTTGGTGTCTTTTAGTTTTACCCTTGTTGGTTTTGACATGCAGCTCTTTAACTTTTTGTCATCCCATTTGTGAATGTTTGATTTTGTTGCCTTTGCTAGTTTATCAGCTCTTTGAAGCCAATTTCAGGCCCTAATCTTGCAGTGCTCTGTCTATATTTTCCTCAAGTACTTCATAGTTTCTGTTCTATCTCAAAGTCTTTGATCCACTTTGAACTGACTTTTGTGTGAGGTGTACAATATTGATCCAGCTCTTGTTTCTTATATGCAGTTATCCAATTTTCCCTGTAACGTGTGTTAAAGAGGCTATCTTTATTTCATTTTATGGTCTCAGCACTTTTATGAAAATTAACTAACTGCGTCTATGGAGTTTTGTCATAGTATATTCGAAATTGACCCCTTGACCAGAGTGTCTGTCTTATTCCAGTACCATTAAGTTTTGATCAGTATAGGTGTATGATGCAGTTCCAAATTTGGTCATGAGTTACCTCTCAATTTTTTGCTTTTTAGTGTTTTTTTGGCTAATTCGCAGTCCTTTCTGATCTGATATAAACTTATTGACATTTTGAAATCCTGTCTAAATTTGGATGGGGATTGCATTGAATCGTTGTAATAGCTTAGGTAGGTTAATCATTTTAATATTATTGGTTGAGATAATACAATCCATGAGAATGGTATATTTTTCACTTCCTGCGGTATCCCTCTATTTCTTTTTTATGTGACTTAAGATATCATTGTATAGATCTCCCACATCTTTTGTTAAGCTGACTCCGAGAGTCTTGTTGGTTCTGGATACCGTTTTCAATGGAATAGACTCCTTGATTGCTTTCTCCTCTGCTTCATTCTTTGTAGAATAGAATGTGACTGATTTTTGTCTATTGATTTTGTACCCGTCCACTTTGCTTTATTATTTCTTGTTTCTAACAGTGGTTTTGTGGGCTATTTATAGTCCTCTATGTTTGTTATCATGTCGTCTGCATTTAATGATAGTTAGAGTTCTCCTTTTTCAATTAGCATCCGTTTAATTTTTATTTTCATGCCTGATTGCCATAATCAGACTTTAATAATAATTTAACTGGAAGTGAAGAGAGTGAACATACTTGCATTGTACCCGATATTTGAGAAAATTCTTTCACTCTGTCAATATTAAGTATGATACTGACTGTAGGCTTGTTCTACATGGCCATTATTATCTGGAGGAAGGTTCCTTAATATAGTGTATTACCTGAACTGATTTGTTTTTGTTGAATCATCCTTGCATGACTGTGTGAATCCCAATTGATCAGGGTGTATGAGTTTTCTGTTTTGTATATGAATAACTAAGACTTTATTATGCATATTTGCATTATATTGAACAGGGAGTTTAGTCTGAAAGTTTCTTCTCTGGGAGTATCACTTTCTGCTTTTGGTGTTAGTCTATTGTTAGCTTCATGAAAGTATCAGGAAGAATTCCTGTATCTTCGATATTTTTGAAGAGCTTAAGGAGTACAGTCAGTAAAGCGACTTTGAAGGTTTAATAGAATTCACTGGGGAACCCATCTGGACCAGGACTTTTGTTCTTGGGGAGACTGTTCGTTAGTGTTTCAATACCTTACTTGTGATTGGCCTTTTTAGGGTTACTGTTTTGACCTCATTCATCTTGGGTTGATTACAAGAGTCTAAGAATCTGTTCCTTTATTCTGGGTTCTTTACTGGGGATATACTGAAGCTCTTACTCAAATACTGTCTTCTGAGACTAGCGCAAAAATTTGATAAATTCGTTGAAAATAATTGTTAGTACTCATATAGATATTGATATGAATTAAAGAGTTTGGGCTGTTCAAAATTCAATAGCAAACCACCCTTTCAGGACTCATTGATCCCACATTAATGAGTTCATCTGTCAATAGCCATTCTGCCAATTGAAAGGGAAAATGGTCCTGTCATCCTCACCAGCTTTCTGTGGGATTAATTTTCTCACTGGCCTTTACTGCATAGAGAGTCTGCTTGTAAGGCGACACCTTCTCTTTTCTGGAGTGAATGTTCCATATTTTGGAGTCAGTGAATCAATCAATATCATCTTTAATCGTCTCACCATTTGTTATTATTATTATTATTATTATTTTTTAAATTTTTATTAGCGAAACACCATGAGGTAAAGTTGTAGACTTACAATTTTCTGTGCTTGGATTTCAGTTATACAATTGTTGTTATTATTTTTATCACATAGAAATCTAAAGCTCAGTATTTACATATTAGCCATTAGAGACATTAGAGACTAGTTTGACATGTACTATCATTCCTGATATGAGGCTACATTTTTTTCCTTCATTATGAATCCAGTCTCCTTTTGCATAAATCTGGGGTCTCATCCACCACAGCACAGTCATGTGATGAGAATTAAATGACCCCAGGGAATAAGCTGATTTTATTCCAAATAGGTGAGTGTGTGTGCGTGTGTGTGTGTGTGTGTGTGTGTGTTTAAGATTTAAATATTAGAATCTTAACTCTAGGGAATGATGTCTTCACTGATATTTTACAATTTTGTTAGTAAATTATTCAGAGAGAGAGAGAGAGAGAGAGAGAGAGACCACAGCCCCTTTGAAGCACAAATGAATTGGTTAATTATCAAAGTAATTAAGAGAATTCACACTTGGCTTAAGGGTGATTCAGTGGGCATGGATGAAGAAAGCACTTCAGTGACTAAAAGTGGTCTAAAGGAAGGATGAAGATATCAAAACAATTATATTTCGCAAAGGAGTCTTTAAAGGCCTGATTCCACTGGCAAAAATAAGCAAGTGTGACTGTATGAAGTTGAAAGGGTCTAGCTTGGCAAAAGAAACTAGGCAAAAATACAAAGACACCCAACTGACTGGGAGAAGATATTCACACATAATGCTTCAGATAACACTCAAAATATGTAGAGCACTCACAGAGTTAAACAGCAATAACAAATAGCCAACAACCCCATCAAAAAGGGGAGAAGAGATGAATGAACACATCCATGAAGAAGACATGTGAGTGGCCAGTAGGCATGTGAAAAAGTAGTGGTCATTTCCTTATGGAAACAGAAATTACAATGTCAATAACATGCCACATTTTGCTATCTATCTATCTATCTATCTATCTATCTATCTATCATCTACATATATCTATGTATCTTTAAACACAAGTGTGGGAGGGGTGGGAAAAATAGGATCCCTTCTTCACAATTTATGAAAGTATCACCAGGTCACCAGCTCTCACTTGACTCAGCTATCCTACTTGTGGCCATATGAATGCCCAATCCAAAAAATATTCTCTATCCTCAAGATATGAAGCGTTTTATTAGAAAGGACATATGCTCACCATTGTACATTGCAACACACAATACAATAGCTAGGCACTGGATTCCATCTAGGTGTCCAACATCAGATTAGTTAATGGTAAACATTTTCAATAGATGCACAATGACATACCTTGTGGTTCCAAGGAATGATGGAGTCAAAAAATCACAGAAACTTGGATGGAGCTGGAGAAAATCAAGATAATGCAATAGGTCAGAAGAAGAAGACCAAATACTGAATTACCTCACTTATCTTTGTTATATAAAATAACACGGAAGGGATGCAAGTTACCAATGTGGGGCAAACCCTCATCCCTAGATGAATGAAGAACACTGTAGCACTGTAACACTGTCCTCCGATCGTTCATCGATTTGCTCGAGTGGGCCCAGTAACGTCTCCATTGTGAGACTTGTTTTTACTGTGTTTGGCATATCGAGTACATCACGGTTAGCTTGCTAGGCTTTGCTCTGCGGGTGAGCTTGCTGGTAGATTGTTGGGCTCTCCGAGAGGGTCAGGGGAGGAGGAATCAAACTTGGGTCACCCTCGTCGGCCTCGTGCAAGGCAAACGCCCTACCTAACCGCAGTGCTACTGCTCCAGCCCATGAATGCAGAGAAATGGCGAAAAAGGAGAAAAACAGAGGCATGAGGTAGGGGTGGCTTTGCACACTCGTGGTGTACAGATTTTGTATATGTATATGTCAAAGCACATGGAACAATATTGTAAACATAGGACCCAAACTCCAATAATTAATCTTAAAAATGTGCTTTTAAAGGAGGCAGGCTGGGTTAGAGGAAGAAAACTTGGGGACACTGATGGAGGGAAATCAACAGTCATTTGGGGATGGTGTTGGATCATTGTATACCTATATGTCTAGTCTTGGCACAATTGTAAATCATAATGCTTAAATTAAAATTTCTACTTAAATAGAAATTAATTCAAATATATATGACATCTATTCATATATATATATAATTGTTGCCTAAGTACAATAGCCAGCATATGGAAATATTCAAAATGTCCAACTACAGAAGAATGGATGAAGAAATTTTGGTATTTGGACTAGAGCAAGCATATGGTGGCTAGGGCACATGACTTGCATGCCGTAGAGCTGTGTTCAATCCCTGGTACCCCACACGGTCCCCTTAACTCCATCGTGAATCATCCCTGAGTTCACAGCCAGTAATAAGCCTTGTGAACTCCCAGATGTGGTATAAAAACAATAGGACAAAATAAAAAAACAAAAAGAATCAGTCATAATCCAGAGGCAAGAGGACCAATAGAGAATGTTCTCACTCCTCTGAGGTATAGAGAGAAAGAAATCAATGTAGTTTTTGTCCCATTGTGTCACAGTCATGTTTTCGTATCTATTATGCTTAAAATTAGGCAGATATTTTGGAAAAGTCTGTTTATTGATATCAGTTATCGAAGAGCACTAGGGCATATAACCCATGGACTCTTGTATTCTGATTGTGACAGACTGTCAGGTCACTGGCTCTGATACTTTTTCCTTCATTTGAAAAATTGAATCGCTGTGACATACACAGTTACTCAGTTGTTGATGATTGGGTTTCAGTCATACAATATTCCAACACCAGTCTCTCCTCACCAGTGCACATTTCCCACCACTAATGTTCCCACTTTCCCTCCTGTACCTCCTCCCCCCGCCTCTATGGCAGGTACTTTTCATCTCTCTCTCTCTCATGTCCTCTCTCTCTTTCCTTTGGACATTATCATTTGCAATACATATCCTAAAGGTATATGTATATTCATGTATATTCCTTTACCTATTTTCAACACTGAGATCTTGCCCAGAGTGATTATTTCTAACTCTTATTGCCACACTTGTCGCTTCTCCATCCTAACTGCCTTTTCCCTGCAAACATTTTTGGCAAGTGTACAAACATTAACAAATCTTCCTGGCCCCTTTTATCTTGGCCTTGGATATTAGTCTCGTACCATTTTTTAACATCCCACAAATGAGTGCAGTCATCCTATATCTGTCTCTCTCCTTTCACTCATTTCACTCAGCATGATACTCTTCATGTCCATCCATTTATAGAAAAATTTCATAACTTCATTTCCCCTAATACAGCTTGTTAGTATTCCATTGTGTAGGTCTACCAAATGTCTTTATCCAGTCATCTGTTATTGGGTATTGGGGTTGGTTCCAGATTCTCACTATTCTGAACATTGCTGCAATCAACATAGAATCACAAAATTGCAGAAGGCATTTCTGCTGCATTGTTTGGACCTTCAGGGCATATTCCCAGAAATGGTATTGCTGGGTCATATGAAAGTTCAATTTCTAGTTTTTTAAGAATTGAAAATATTTTTTCCAAAGTGTCAGGAATAGTTGGCATCCCATCAACTGTGAATTAAAGTCCCTTTCTCCCCAAATCTATTCCATCACAAGATGTTCTTGTTTATTGTGATGTGTGCCAGTCTCTGAGGTGTGAGATTTTTGTTGTTTTGTTTTGTTGTTTTGTTGTTTTGATTTGTATCTCCATGATGATTGATGATGTAGAGAATTTTTTTATGTGCCTTTTGGACATTTGGAGTCCTTCTTTGAGGAAGCTTTTATTGATGTCTTTCTTTTTTATTTTTTTTCTTTTTTTGCTTTCTGTGTCACACCCAGTAATACACAGGGGTTACTCCTGGCTCTGCACTCAGGAATTACTCATGGCGGTGCTTGGGGAATAATATGGGATGCTGGGAATCAAACCCGGGTTGGTCATGTGTAAGGCACACTCCCTATGTACTGTGCTATTGATCCAGCCCCTTTATTCATTTCTATTCTTCATTATTGATGGCGTCGAATTTTTTTTGGTAAAGTTCTATAAGTACCCTATATATCTTTGATATTAATCACTTTGATATTGGTACCTGGAAAATAATTTTTACAGTTCACTGGGCTGTTTCTAATTTGTTCATTGTTTTGTATTGAGGTGCAGAAGCTTCTTACTTTAATTAGTCACATTTGTTTTTCTTTGCTTCCACTTGCTTGGTCATTGGTGTTTCATGCTCCAAGAAGTCTTTAGCTTAAATGTCATGAAAGGTTGGTTTTCCTATGCTTTCTTCCATGATCCTTACAGATTCAGGTATCTGATACATTTCTAATGAGACTAAAATTTGACCATGGGTAGTTGGGGGAGCTGTGGATCTTCAATAGGGTTTTCAGAGAAGCCCCCTGTTAAAGAACATTCATCCTAGCTCCACCCAGCATCCTGGGCTTGTCTGGTGCCTTTTTTGTTGATAGGGAGCTCAGCAGCTGTGTTTTCTCTGGCTGGGCAGAGTATCTCTTACCCAGGCCATTGTTCAGTTTCAGCAACTTTTTCCTTTCTCAGTGAGTCCCATGGAAAAATCTGAGACTCATCATAAGCCCCCTCTGTTCAAGAGTGCCTGGAACTTCCCTGAGAGAGACAAAACATAATGATGACTCACATGAGGTATATAAGGTATATCAGTTAAATCAATTATAATGTAGTAAAGAAAAACAAATATTAAATGCAAGGGAAACTGAAAAAATGGTCTTTAAAAATAAGCATATCGCCATTGGAGAATGGAGTTATACTTTAGGCATTGGGGAGAGACACCGAGATGTGATGGAGGGAACGGAAACCCTCTGGAGGTGCAGTGTTGGAATGTGCTTTTATCTGACACCTTCCCATTGTCAATATTGTAAATCAAAATGACAAAAATAATTTTATAAATGTTAAACATGCCCAAAAATAGGAAGACAAGAAAGAAAGAAAAACAGTGGGGAAAAAAAAACCCAAGGGGAGATCTCTGCTGGTCCTCAGTGAAGCAGAGATCTTCAATAGGGATTCAAATTTGCATAAATAGCCCCTCCTTCTTGATGATCCTGATGAGATGAGAGTTGCCTGTGTCATCCCAATCTCAGCTCAGGGTCTCCGAGGGTCTGTGTGCAGGATGGCCTGGATTTCTGTCTTCCTGGTGATCCTCAGTCACTATACAGGTAGGGATGGTTCACAGAGACCCGGAGAAAGCTCATAGTCAGCATCCAACTTACTGGTTCTGAGTCTCAAGAATCACAGCCCTGGTCCCTGTCTAGCACCCTCATGTGTCTGTGCTATCAGGTTGCCTCTCCAACTGCTGCTTACTCAGTTGCCCTCCTCTTTACATTTCCTGGGATAACTGCCAGTGTCACATGTATACCCTGTCTAGTGGTTTCAGTGTTGTTGACTTCTGGATCATCTGATACCTGTAGAAGCAGGAGGCCCTCATTGGTATCTTTTGAACGACTACTCACCTCAGACAAGAGTCAGGGCTCTAGAGTCCCCAGCAGGCTCTCAAGATCCAAAGATGCCATGGGCAATGCAAGGATTCTACTAATCTCTGAGCTGCGGCCGAGGATGAGGCTGACTATTTTTTTATAAAATAATTATTTAAATAATAATTGTATAAATGTTAAATTACTTGATCACTTGATCACTTGACTTCCCGTTAATCGTCGATTTGCTTGAGCGGGCACCAGTAATGTCTCCATTTGTCCCTGTTGTGGGCTAGTTTAGCCCAATGGCGTCAGTTTGTTCTAGGAACACGAAGAGCCTCAACTTGATCTTGATGAAGAAGTCTGACCATCTGGTAGGTGGGCGGCCTTGCATTCTTTTGACATCCCATGGAATCCAGTCAGTAATGGCTCTAGTCCAGCGGTCGTCTCTCAATCTCATTACGTGACCAGCCCATCTGATTTTTGACGCCTTGGCAAACCAGACTGCACTGACTTGGGTGTGAAATTTCTCCTGTATCCAACAGGGGGCAGTGCTGCATGGTCTTGAATCTCATCCAGCAAATATCACCCTGCCATGCTGAGGAGAAATCCTT